TATTGGACGACAATTTTGCCACAATTGTGATCGGAGTGGAAGAGGGGAGACGTATATTCGACAACATGAAGAAGACTGTGTCCTACATAATGGCCGGCAGTGTCACCACATTATACCCGTTCGTGGTTTACGTCATATTCGGCTTCCCTCTGGCCATCGGCACCGTCACAGTGTTGTTGATCTGTTTGGGCACAGATATGATGCCGGCCATAGCGCTCGGCTACGAGAAGGCCGAGTCGGACATAATGCAGTTGCGACCGCGCAATCCCAAGACCGACAAACTGGTCACCGCTCAGCTCCTGCTTCGGGCGTATCTACTCATCGGCCTAATCGAGACGAGCGCCGGATTCTTCGGCTATTTTCTCACCTTTTTGCACGAGGGCTTTGAGCCAACCCTCCTGTGGCAGTCACGCATCGCCTGGGAAAACACCAGTCTCAACATGACCAATTCATATGGACAAGTTTTTGTATGTTGTTATCATCCATGAAATGTTGGTTCAAAAATTATGGTAAAATATTATCATTTTTGCAGACTTTTAAGCAAAGAGAAGAGATCCAAATGGAGGCTCAAAGCGCTTATTTCATTGTCATTGTTGTCGTCCAATGGATTGATGTTATCGTTTGCAAGACTAGACGTCTGTCTATATTTCAACACGGATTTGAGTAATTGTTTTAATTTCTATACATTTATATATTTTAATAATTTTTAACTTTAATTACCCGTTGTTTTTGGTGGTGAATAGCAATCACTTTCTGACATTCAGTCTGATCTTCGAGACGGCTTTGTCTGTATTCTTCTGCTATACGCCTAAAGTGAATGAAGTGTTGTCTCTGAGACCAGTGAAGGGTTGGGTTTGGTTGTCAGCGATTCCCTTCTTCTTCTTGATCTTCATTTTCGATGAAACGAGAAAATGGTTTATCAGAAGACATCCCTTCAACTTCTTCGCCAAGGAATTGATCGTTTGATTCGCAAATTCATTGATTTTCTCACTAATAAAAGTGACTTTTCTTACAGTAATATTATATTTTACCCAATTATGTTTGTTTCATTCGTGTACAGTATATTTCATTGTCTAATTTTATCATAATATTGTGAATATGATTCATTTAATTGTTATTTAATTTTATTGTAAATCATTTATTGTATACTGAATTAGATTCTACTGTTTTTAGAAATCAATTTATTTATTTTTATGTTAATTTTTATTGATAAAGGATTTAATTTTTAAAAATTATTTGTAAAACAATTGTAACACTAAAGAAATGTACAAAAAATATTATCAATAATATTCTAAAACAGAAATTAGTGAATATTTAAATTAATAAATTATTTATTTTAAATGCAATCATAATGTATTTCTTAGTTTTGGTGAAATAATCTAATGATTCATTTTGTAATTAGCAAACAGAACAGAAAAATGTAATTTTTTCCTCAAAAATTGATGTAATTTTTTGTTTATAAATATAAGTCATCATTAAATCGGTGTAAATTTGTTCACAAAAACTGATCATAGTCAGATTAGTTAATAGGCATTTAAATAAAGGGTCTCTCTCTCTCTCTCTCTCTCTCTCTCTCTCCTAATTCATCAATAAAAACATTTGACAAAAAACATATTTATTTCAATAATGAACACCTCGATAGAAAGTACAGCACCAATAATACAGCCCATTATATGGGACTATGAATTGTCGGTCAATTCAATGAGATATTATTTTTACGACTATTGGCTGAAAGAGTGCGACCCCAGGACTCGCACCCACTTTATATCCCGTGGCGGACCCGAGCGATGTCTGGCCATAATGTTATTATGGCTATTGTTTGTGACCAGATTGGGGCCGAATATGATGCGCAACCGAAAGCCTATGGACTTACGAGGGGTGATGTTTGTCTACAACACATTTATGGTGGCAATCAATGGCTCCGAAAGCATTGATTTGTGACAAAAATGATTAATTCATTACATAATAAATGCAACTTTAAAAGGTATGCAAAACGAGTTTTATATAATGTAGCGTTAATTATCTATCATTACTTAATTACACATGATATTATGGCTATTGTTTGTGACCAGATTGGGGCCGAATATGATGCGCAACCGAAAGCCTATGGACTTACGAGGGGTGATGTTTGTCTACAACACATTTATGGTGGCAATCAATGGCTACTTCTTCGTGCGGTCCATACTATGGCTCGATTTTGGCCAAAAGCTACTGGACTTTGAATTCCCGGCGAACGACGACTACAGCCCTAAGACTCTGAACAAGATTGACGAACACGTCATGTATTGTTATACAAAATACATTGACTTATTGGACACCATATTCTTTGTGCTCCGCAAGAAAAACACTCACATCTCGTTTCTGCACGTATATCACCATTTCATGGTACCGGTGCTCGCGTGGGTTAGTATACTTTACCATCATTCATACTGTATATTGTTATAGTTACTACTAAATTTATATTGATAAATAATGATTCAAACTGTAGGTGGTGTTAAAAATAGCGCCCACGGTGGTGCCAATCGGCGTATTCACCTTGCTCAATACATTCGTCCACACATTTATGTACTCGTATTACGCTCTGTCGGCGTTCGGGCCCGGAATGCACCGGTATTTATGGTGGAAGCGGTACATCACGATCGCACAGATCATACAGTTTGCCATTTTCATCACATACGGTGTGTTCAGCATTTTTCTCAGCAATGGTTATCCCAGAGCTCTTTACTGGTCGGGTATGTCATCCGAAGTTGCAATTGTTTGACTACTATTTATATTATATTTGTATTAATTTTCAGTTCAAATGCAAAGTCCATTGTTTTTATACCTGTTTTGGAGGTTTTATAAGAAATCGTATGTAAAACAACCGAAAGCATTGATTTGTGACAAAAATGATTAATTCATTACATAATAAATGCAACTTTAAAAGGTATGCAAAACGAGTTTTATATAATGTAGCGTTAATTATCTATCATTACTTAATTACACATGAT